GGGAATGATTTCAGAGCGCGAGGGCAGGACATGCAGCTGAGGGCAAGCAGCTCTTAAACTGCACCAGCCCGAATGGCCAGAGCCCCTTTGAAGGTTTGATAAGGTGCTAGCAGAATTGAAAAATGAAAATTTCTGACAGACAAGACTTGAGAGTGAGCCTTAACAGGTGCATGTGCCTCGTGCCATTGCTTTGTGTAAGCTGGTCCCAGCTCTGTGCTTACAGCCCTGTCAAAACCATACTGGAATGTTAGGTGGAGAAACTGAACGTTTTCTGTTGAAGACCTACAGATTTTCTGACTACAGTGTGAAGCAATTCGGGGCTAAATGACCGAACTGAAGCCTCCATTTGCTGGGTATAGTTATAGTCACTCCGTGAGGGAACAGTAACCAAAACATGGGATTAAGGCAATTTCTCATACAGAAGGCAGTTTCTCATAATGAATAGCAAATATATGTAGTGAATGCAGCTTGCAAGCCAGAGGCTAAGATTCCTTTTACTAGGAAATGTTTGTGTAGTAATTCTCAACCAGATTTGTAAAAATTAGATCCAGCACAAAGGGCGAATTTTGTGGAATAAATTGCTTGCTACGAACAGTTCGTGCAGAGGTATCTACAAAACAGAAGGAGAAGCTGCCCGGAGGCAGCAAAGGCTCAGAACATCCACGTCAGTCTTTTCAGGGAAGCTCGTGATATCGAAAACCTTGGCAGAAACAGCCCAGCACTTCTTAGAAATCAACGTGCGTACTGCTGGAGAGGAATGGGTACCACCTGCAACAGGCAGAGACCTGAACGCAGAAAACAAGGTGCTCACCGTGTCACTGCTGGCTTGTGATGGGGCTTGGCACGGCGCGCCAGGCGTGGCTCATCCAGGGGCAAGGAGCTGCTGGCTGCCTGTGGCTCCTGGTCACCTGTCACCCAACAGAAGCTGCAAGGAGAGAAATTGCAATGTGTAGCCCGAGGGTAACTCGGTGGTGGGCAGCAGGCTGATCCGTACCTGAACCTGAAGCGTGCTTCCACAACCTGCAGCCCTGAAAGCTGGGGGAAAAGTGGGAAATGTTGGAGTCCTGACTTGCAGGAGGGGAGTGCAGTCAGATAACCCATGCATGTAACTTTGATGTGCCATCTCAGGCTGGATCTGAAGAGATGGTAACGACACTCTTACCTAACTGCTCCTGCAGATTGGGTGGCCTTGCATGGAAGTGGCAAAGGATGACTTTCTGTTGCCAGCTCCCAGGTGAGCCAGGCTGTATTATGCTCAACTATATGGTCGCAGCGATGTTATAAAATCCCGAAACCTGACAGGCCATCTCTGCAAAAGTCAAGCTGACCTCACAGGGCAAATTCCTCCGGGCACTGCTGAGATAAAATTTGAGGATTGATGTCGCCAATACCCTGGTGGCATTTTGATTTTGTTTCATCCCCATTTGTTTTTTGAAGAAGCCTGAAATATTCTTAAAGGAGGTGGCAGTCATGATGAAAAATGTTCTGGAAGTAAAATTTGCTTACCCACCAGCCAAATCGAGTATGGATACCAGCAATATAACCTCCCTTTTTGGTTGATCCCAACCCTGTTTTGCCCAGAGTGGGAGAACATTGCTGGCACCCCTACAGTGCTGGTCAGCACGGAGCCTGAGCAGAGGAAGCTCCAGCAGTGCAGGGGAGCAGAGCTTCGCCAGCAGCTGAGCTCACGTCAAAATAGTTAGGGTAGTTCTGCAACAGGCTAGGAAAGGAATTGCACAATGTTTTCAGGTGATGCTGTCAGCCACAGTTCTTTAGGATTTCCAGCAAACATTTCCCTTTAATCATAGGAAGCTGGAACATACATCAGTGGGGCAGCTTCTTGGTTGCTTCATGTTTCTTGTGGCCAACCCTGACACTTGCTATCATCGCCGTGTGGGTGAAAACCCCACTCACTGGTTTGCTGTTCAAATTACAGGAAATAGTATTTACAGGCACAGCCCCGTTTGGTGTTTCCAAGATACACGCTGGTGCAGTTGCAGGGACTCAGCAGGGTGTGGGAGCAGGTGCAGACAACTGGTTCACGTCTAAATGCTGGGCGGTCACTGCGCTTCTGGAGTCTGAAGTAATCCAAGCTGGTAGAAGATAGCTCTGAAATAGCCTGGACTGTCTTCTTCTGAGTGTATTGAACTTGGTGTTCACAGGGAAGGTCATAGGCTAAAGCCCCAAAGGTCCATTACCGCGTGTGGGCTGGCCCCTGGTGTACCAAAGCCCACTGTTTCACCCACTGATCCCCTACTTGCACCTAAAAGCTTGGTTTAGACTGAAGTATTTTAAGCCTGGTAACAAAACTCATCAGGCTTACCTGTTCCAGCAGTGAAACCACGCTTAACTGCTTCGGAGAAGGATGGAAATCCAGGAGCAGCACCCCTGAGGGTCTGACCTGAGGGTGGGTTTCCCCGTGTGAGACTGAGCACGGGGAACAATTCCTGCTCAGTGCCCTCAGGGACCAGCCCTCACCTTCCCCTTTGGAGGGAAGCTGGTGGGAAAAGCAGGCTGCCTCTCACCATATGCACTGAGTGCTTGCCCTCCTGATCCTTGGGAGTCAAGGTATTTATAGGACAATAGTCAAAATTTTATCTAGAGGTAGGAATTGTGTAGAAGTATGTGGTGTGGTTGGAAAGGACAGCACGGAATTTACCACGCACATTTGCCTGCGCTTCAGATATCATCAGCCATTGCCACTGCAAGCACGCTCTCAGATCTAGATGGTCTTTAAATGTGTGCTTAGATCTCATTAACGCTATAGGGATGTAAGCAGAAGTCTAAAATCGTGTATATGGTCAGGTAATGACCTGAATGCGGGCCATAATCTTTTTGTGCTTTAGGCTTTGGTAATAAGCTAGTGATCAGTTCTCTGCATTACTGCTAAAAGTATTTGCAGTAAAAAATGGGAAGCTCGATGGACCTTGCTAGAAATTAGCCTCTTTGGTGTCAGAGGAGGTGTTTCTGCTGATTACTTTAGGAAATGATAGCAATTGGAATAGGATCTTTTCTTCCTTCCTTCTGTGTGCTTTTATTTTGAGCCTTGGCTCCGTGTTCCTGTCTATCTGCATAAATCTTTTCTCTGTGCAGTTATCAGATAAAGATTATTTTCTGACAAATAAGCATTTTTCCACTTTCTCGCCGAGGCTTCTGATCCATGAAAGCAGCTGAACAAAAGGGAATAAGAAATCCCATATGAAGACATGGTTGTGTTTTGGGGCTTTTTTTTTTTTTTTTTTTTTTTTTTTTAAAAAGCTCTTTCCACACTAGCTTTCTTTTTTCCCTAAATACTATTCTTGGTTTGAAACTTTAATTCTGGGCGTACATTTGGTGCCCAGATGGTGCAGACTCACACAGAAGCCCATCACGCTGTCAGGGCAGGCGGATACATATGTAAATATTTTGCCTTTTTCCCCTATAATATTTGCCTTTGTCTAATCTAATTGCTGTCAAAGGCAGAATGTGAAGAATGCTTCAGAGAAGCAAACAAAGAGGACCTCCAATGTTTGCATTGCACTAACTCCGGAAGATGCTGGTTGACTCGATTGCAACTAATAATTTTGTTGCATGGGTTTTTACTCACGCCGTGTATGAGCCAAGCCTGTGCCATGCAATGCCTTACAACCAGGAGTAGAAACTTGCCTTTTTAGGGGCACAAGAACATATTTAACCCCTTGGAGCTGCAGGTGAGGCTAATGGCTCTGCCTTTTCAGTTCAGGCTGACAGCAAGTGTTCTCTACATGTCTCCTGGTATATCACTCTCTCATCCTTATTTATGTGGTTCATTGCTTCATTTAATTTGTTCTATTGAGTGCATGTCTTAATGTATTTTTAATACATAAAAGCATTTCCAGTGCAGTTGCTCCTCTGACCAGTGGCAGCTAATAGCAAACGGTGTGGCCAACCACATTAGGGATGCCTGTTTGGTTATTGGAGACCTGATCCAAAATACCATAATACTCATGGAGAAAGGGCTTACATGAGCTCTGAACCTGACTGCTTGGTGAGAGGGTCTAACGGAGCCATCCTTCTGGCAAAAAGGACGTAGGAAACCTTGCTGTTTTTCACCGATGCAGGAAGGGTTGCACTGTCACAGATTTCTGATCAGATGTGAAATTTGGCTGGGCTATAATTCGCAGAAAGCATCGGGCTATGCCAGACCCATTCCTCTAAGGACACGGTGCAGAGAGATGCCAGGAGATGACAGCCTGGAGGTGTGATTATTGTAGAGGAAGGAAAGTGGCTATAAAAGGAAAATAGGAGTATGTGACCAGAAGACAAACAGAAGCAGCACATGGTGCTGTTTTCCATGGAACGTAGATGAAATCCTACAGGGGAAAAACCAACATTGCCTATTGCAGCCATTCATGTTGCCATTTGAAGCTTATTATCTCAGTGGTGCCAATAAATCCTGTTTGAGCCTGCTATGAAAGTGTCTGGGTGCCTTCAAGAGACGTGCCATAGCCTGTCGCATCTGCTTGGCTTGCTTTTTGGCTCTGGGCTGCAAGCGGTCAGAAAATGTGTTCTCTAAATTCATACTTCTTCCCGTGGTGGTTTTATTACTGATGGTAAGATTAAAGGTGTTTGCTTTGCATATCTCCTGGAGCACGGACACAGACACATACTGCAGGATAAGTGAAAATGGGAACCCCAGTTTCTCTGAGGTAAATGCCAGTATGCCTGATGTTAGCTCATGGTTCAGAGAAAGGAAATGAAAGAAGGGGTGACTTGCCACATTACGTCTGATGGTGAAAACAGATGCTGGCAGCTACTGTTGAGCCTTTGATGTATCATAAGTTTGCATGCGAGCTTCCCCTACAACTAGCTTGAGTCTGTCATGGGCCACAAGTAGCACTGACTGTCACAGTGGGTTGGTAGTAGGGATTGCTTTGCTATCAGCCTCTGCTTTTGCTTGTCAGTTCTGTCTGGTCTACAGCTGGGATGATGTTGCATTCATTTAACAGCACTTTCTCTCTTATCCCTTTTGCCTTTTCCAGGAGCAATTGAGCGGTGCACGTACATCAAGTACCACTACTCCTCAGCGACCATTCCCAAGAACCTCACCTACAACATCACCAAGACAATCCGCCAGGATGAGTGGCATGCCTTGCGTGAGTACTGCTGGCTTTCTCCTCCGTTTTCCTCATGTGCAGACTAAGGGAGGTACCCGCTAGTAAATGAGAAGAGCGGCTTTGACAGACAGCCCACTTAGAGCTCTGTTCTCACGTGCAGTTAGTCTTTGTAGCAGATGGATCGATTTGCTCTTAGGACCTACATCTCTTTTTGCTGCTGACTAGAAATTCTGCTGAGGCATGAAAAACTGGTGGTAGGGAAGAGGCATTCATGTGCAAAGATTAATATTTAGTTAAATAATAAAATGAATAACCAGATCAATGCTCTATTTTTTAATTTAGTGGAATTCTCTGTATGTAAGGGTATTCTCATGCAGTTCATGCTACTGCTGAGTTTCCTGCTTCCAGCAGAATTCATTGCTGGCTTTGTAGAATACGTCCTGCTGCCTGCAGCTCCTGAGCGAGTGTGGCATCGCTCTCCTTTGAAGATGTAAAAAGAGATGCTGCACTCTTTAAGGCACAGGGAAGGAGCATTTAGCCCTCAGTGATAACTGTAGCTGGTGGTCGCCAACTTGTAATATTTGCTGAAGCCAACAGTATCTGACAGGGATGGAAGGAACTGCCTCGAGATGTATGGCTGGCCTTAAAGCTTTGCTCCTCATACTGGAAACGGAAAAGGGCTTTCACTAACAAGATGAAAGAGGTAGGATTTCACGAGGAAGGAAACCACTGCCACTTCCTCTTGCTATTACATAGTCATAAGGACTGATGAATGCTCAGGGTTCCTCCTACAGTCTAAGTAGTTAACAGCCCTTTGAAGATGACAGAAATGAAGGGGATGCTGATTCTGCTGATTTGAAAGGTGGCAGTGAGCAGCTACTGTCTAAGCCATCAGCTTGAGAAATGTGTAAGACCTCTGGTATTTCCAGGGCATTTGGTCCCTGTTTCACTCCTGCCTTGTGTGGCTATTGCTCTGTTGGAAGCCTCTTATGCTCTGGGGAGGAGAAGCCATAATGATATACTTCACTTTCTGAATTGGTAAGGTCAGGCCTGGCTTTCACTGATGCTTGTATGCTTACCTGGTAAAATCTGATAAACCATTAAGGAAGTTTTAGAAGATCTTGCTAAACTCCTCTATTTTTTTATGAAATGTGTCTGTGTGGCTAAATACACATTGTTTAATTTTGATATGAGTTCAGTATTCCTTTTATTTATCATGCTTCTGCTTCCCTCTCAGAAGGTAGGTAGTAAGAAGCCAGTCTTGAAAAGTACTTTGGCTGTGTTTGTTTGTCCCTGAAATCAGACGATTGTGTAGTAGGAACCTCTCAGTTTCCTGCTACCACCTGTCATCTCTGGTGTCATATTTAAGCTAAAAGTTCTCTTCTTTGGGGAAGGAAGAGGACAACCAACCACCCCTCAGAGAGAGGTGGATGTCTCCTATTAGAGTTCAATAGGAAGAGGCCAGTTTATTCTTCTGGCTGCATATCTGTGCTTTTGCCACTGCTGGTGAGTAATCATGACTCTTCTGCAACTCTTCTCTAGGAACTTCCCTTATTAATGTAATAATTATTGCCTTAAAGAAGTCCCTTTCAGCAATGGCTCAGGTACAGGGCTCTCCTGAGGCTGTTAACCACTGATGTGCCTGGCCACATTAGTCCCTCAGTGTGTGCATCCCGCGGTGGGATCAGCGAGTTCCTTAGCACGGTTGTCAGCAGCCTTCAGGAGCACGCTTGGCAGTCTCCGAAGTGGCAGTCTAGACACGGCACTCTCCCATTTACATATCTGATCTGGTTTGAAGCACTTTCAGGGTGAGGCTGTTTGTTTCTTTCCCGAGGAGGGTACACCGAGTGTGTGGGGGTGTGCGTATTGCTGACCCAGATTCTCTTGCTAGTTCATGAGTCAGATAAGTGTAGGCAGATGCAGATAGCCAGATTCAGGCTTCAGTTCTACCTCTGTATAGACAGAGAAGGAAAAACACTTTGCCAAAGCTCTCTTCTCCAGAACAGTTGGGTGCAATGAGTGTTTGATACATGGGATACGCACAGGCCACTGCATTCAAGTTGCATGTAGTGCTAAAGGTGCTTGCAACCTTGCTGTTTTTTCCACAACATTCCTTAAAAGACAAGGACAACAGCAATCTTTTCAAATAGTGCTCAAGCTGAGGGGAATGTTCTCCCTTTAGGAAACATTTGTGATGGAGCAGCCACAAGCAGTATGACAAAGTACCTTCAGAAAGTCCCTGTAAGTGTTCCAGCCTCAGCATCTGGTGCTTTTCTGTACCTCTGGACTAGCTTCATCCAGGGCACAGCTACTTCAGCACACCACTGCTCATGCTGAGGCAGAATAACGCTTCCAAGTCAACATGAACTTTATTTTCCTCTGAACAACTTCCTATTCAGAAATTCCCTTCCCCTGAGTGTTGGGACAGGCAGCGGAGGAGCAGGCCTGTTGTTCCTCGTGGTCTTGACATGGGTAACTCCACAGATCTGCACTATGAGATAGAAGAACAAACCCTATTTCCTGATGGAAAATGGGACAAAAGTGGCATCTGGAGAATTTCAGCAGAACTGGAAAGGTGAAACTGGAGTGTCCAGGCCCCCTGCTAAAGAAAATATCACTTCCAGGTGGAAGCCACTGCTGTCCTTTGGCATATCTGCATTTCAGTAGTGGTTATTTTCCTTTTTGGGTGCATGGGAAGCAAATCATGAGTTTGGGAAGGAAATTCATTGTTTTGCATGCGTACAGCTTTGGGGAGCAGAGAAAAGAGGAGTTGGCCATGCTCAACACGCTGCTTTCTTCAGGCTGGCAGGCAGCACTGGTGCTCCAGCAGTTTCTCTTGGATTGCAGGAGTGGGTAAGCAGAAACTTGAGGCTGAGGACCCCATGGCACCAGTTGGCACAGAAAGCAGAGATTCCTCTAGCTGTGCTGTGAGCTGTGCTAGAATAATCCAGGGGAGCAGCTGGACCTGGAGGGATGGTTGGGGCTGACTTCATCATTTTTGATTTTTGTCTTTTTTCATTCCTGTTTGACATTTTCAAGATGGAACCTCAGCTCCAAACTGATTGCCTATGGCAGCATGAGCCAGTGAAATAAGACTTCACTTCCCTGCAATCACTTCCTCTCAGCTCTCTCTGGCTAAATAGGGAGGGAGGGAGGGAAGGGTGATTGTAGTATTGCCAGCTTTCTTCTGTCAGGGGACACTGTTCATCTAATTAGACAAAACTAGCGTCTGTACAAGCTGGGAGGGGAAGGGAGAAAGGAAAGAGTGCTGTGCCCAACAACTTGGAGCACAAGTAGCTGTCTCTTCTGGAAGATGCTGCTGTAATGCTATGATCGAGTCACTGTTACTCATTTACCCTGTCACACTTTGGCCCCAGCCTCATGCACAGAAATTTGGGCTGGAGTTCTGGCTTCTGAAAAACCCTAGCAGCAGCACCGATCCTTTTAGAAATGGAGGTGTAGGTTATTTGAATGAAAATCTAAGCAGTTCTATATTTGTTGGCATCTTTTGTTCCATGTGCTTTGTGTTCCCAATAGGCTTCCTTTTGTTGTGCTATGGATTTGTGCTCACAAAACATGGGGAAAGTGGTTGTGACAGGGGCTTGAGCTGCAGAATATGGTACAGACATAAGGAGTGGTGCAAGGCATTTTCAGATCATGGAATAAGCATTTCAATGAGATGACTGTAAGAAATGACTGTAAGATGACTGTAAGAAAGCTGGCCATAAAAAAAGTTAGTGCATCCATTCTAGCCTTCCTCACTGCAGTCTTGGCAAGTGAAGGAGAAAAGGGGCTTTTCTAGGGCTGTCTTCCCTACAAGACAGGCAAAGAACTCTACTATAAAACATGAGTTTTAAAGCATTGCAAACAAGCAAGTTCCTGATGTGTGTTCTTGAAGAATGAGATTTTTTTTTTCTTTTTCTGAGAACAAACCAAACTGTGCTTCTTCCCTTTCTCCTTCACTGATAGCTAAAACGGGACAAATGCTGTATGGTGCTCAGAGCCTTTGTATGGCACAGCTCCCTGTGGCTTGTGCTCTATTGCGTGAATGTCTCCAGATCAGGAGAGATGAAAAATTCTCCCAAAGCTGTTTATTTTGCTGACTCACAGAGCCTATCATGCAAGGCAGATAGCAGTGTTTCTCTGCCTGGTATTTTTTCCTTCCTCCCTACATGTCACAAGCCTGAATTTTTACTTTGGATTAAACCTGGCCACACAAGAGGGAACCTGTGTTTGTGTCTGTTCCTCTCCACCTTACTTTTGGCTCCTAGGCCTGTCCTCTGCAGTGCTGGGTCAGCAGCTGTCTTCTGTGCCCAGGAACACGGAGCGTGCTGCATCTGGGCAGAAAGGGGCTGGAATTGCTATGGAAACTGATCTCCTCCTGCACAGCTGAGGTAGAAATTGTCACCACACTGCTTTCGGGAGAACCGGTTCACAAATAGGTAGCTGCTGCTTCCTGAGAAATGCTTGGAATTCTGGTTTTCTTCTTTTTTTTTTTTTTTTGAACATGCCTTGTCTGGCACACTCTCTTAACTGTCTCCTACCCGCTGCTTCTGCTGTGTGGTCAGAAAATGGGCTCTGAGTTTAGGGTATTGAGATGGGGAGCTGCGTTGTCAGGAAAAGAGGAACCGTGAAGCTTTGTGTTAATTAGAATGACAACATTTGCCTTCTCTGTTGAAAATTGCAATAATCTTCTGTTTGTGGTGCTCTGAAAGCCATTTGCATAAAAAATGAGTTGTGAAGACAAAAGTAATAGCCTGACACATTGTGAGAGCAGCGAGCATTGGAGGAAATGAAGGATTTCTACAGGCTGTGGAGAGTGGTAATATTTTAATTTGTATAGCATCTTTTATGCTGAGGTCTCGATGGATTTTATCAGCCTTAATGGTCCAAACTTTGCAGGCTCTCTCGGAGAATAAGGCACTTATTACCCCTAGGCTTCTTGATTTAGGCCTAGGAAGCACTCAGCTACCTCCTTATTGCGGGGTGTGAGGGACTGGAAGAAGCTCCCTTTGTGGAGGTCACTTGTGGTGCTGATG